CTCATGGAGGTTCTCCATCTGGGCGTGTATTCTAAGTCTAATACCCAGACACTCCATGGGACTGCCATATATGCCTACACATTGGCCCCCCTGGCACCACCCCTGGCCATTTCTCGGCAGTCCGGACTGGCAGTCCCAGACGGGTCGCGTCTGGGATAGGGAGAACCCCGGCCCAATAAGTTGTTCGTCTATTTCCCAACCCAAACCCACGGGGGTCGTTGTGGTCGGGGTCGGTCTCCCTATGTATACACACCCACATGGCTCTGAGCCGTCCATCCACCAGTCTTGGTCAGGTGCCTTGGTCGAAGGCTTTTCGACAAAGAACTCGTGTTGATCAGGGATCTCTGGGCTGAGGGAGGCAGTTGCTGCTGGACTGAAGCAGCAGTGGCATGCTGACCCTGTTTCGGGGCCCTCAAGAGTTTCTCAGCAATTCTCAAGCGCCAGAGGTGCGGGGAACAACTCTTAGTGGTCTTATTGATGAACAACTCATCTGGCGCTCCATGTGGGTGTGGGTCGGGAAACTCTCCCGAAAACTCTCCCGACAATGGTTCCACCCAGAAAATCTCTCACAGAACTCCCGGGGTCTTGAAAAGAACTTCATTCATCCCAAGACCTTCCAAGAGAGGTAGCCAGTGACCTGAACTAGGACCTTACTGGGTTACCTATGGGATAGGCTAGTTCGGGTCCTTCAACCTCCGTTGGTTGAATTAGTTACAATCCATTCCCAAACACTCCATGGGACTGGCATAGGACGACCGATCAGGCCAGGGGTGGGCCACACTGACCGCCATGGAGATCGACAGCCCGAGCAGTTCGACCATCCAATGGATGGTGAGTTTACCCTGCATGGTGTTGTCATCCAAAATCCCCCCCAGTCACAGAAGGGTTCTGAACGGGGATGAAAAGTCCCTTGAAGTAAGCTGGCTGGCCGCCTGGCCGAATCCCGTCGCGCGACTCCGAGTAAGCGTGGGCCGTGGGCCTCGTCGTTCTTCTGGATGCCCAAACGCTTCCGGAGCTCATCGCCACCCATGGCACCTGGCGAAGCGGAGGCCAGAAGAGGTGGTGGAAGAACCAAGAGAGGTTGAACAGCCTTATAGCCCATCCCATACGTATACCACCATGGGGTCCTAGTTCAGGTCTCTCAACCTCTCTTGGAATTGTTGGACAGCATGGTGATCCAAGACCCGGACCCGACCCAGTCGGCTGGACCAGGTTCGACCAACTCCGGTGGGCTGATTCCACACCGGATGAATGAAGTTGTACCGGTGTCGCCACCGAATGAACGGAGGGTACTGGTACCCTAGGCTTCCAACCACCATTAATTTAATAGGCTTTGCTGAATCAACTAAGGGTTTTACACTACAAAAACTAGGTGAACCATTGTTTTAATGGTCTTGGAAGTCTAGGGGGTAGATGATTGTGGCACAGTGTCCAAGACCTTTTCGACGTGGAGGATCTACCGTTCGGACCTTCCGTGAAAGCCAGGCTGGTCACCGGAGACCCGACCAGGTGGTGATTTCTGGAGAAGACGGACTTGGAAACACAGGAAACACCTGGCCAGGAGGGTCCAGGTACAAGCTTCTATCAATTTGGGGTTCTCTACCAGGACCCTCCGGTCGGTTTGGCTGGATGTGGTTCGACCCACTCTGACAGGTGGTGATTTCTGGGCACTGGACTTGGAAACACAGGAAGCACCTGGCCAGGAGGGTCCAGGTATATACCTGGACCGGATCCCCAAGAAAGGAATGATCCGAAAGATGGAGATCGACACACCGAAAGATGGGAGGGGTCAACACCGGCCAGGTGACGAAGGACGTGCGAATGCCAAGCCACCAAAACGAAAAACCAAGCAGTGTTGGGAGAGAGTCTCCTCCAAGTCAGCACGCGTTGAGTTTAATTCTTCAGGAGTTCATCCTATGATTCTCTATAGACCCAAATAGATAGTATTAGTAAAATGAATTGGAAACCGTGCCCTCTACGTCTTTGAAAGACCACTTCTTTTTGATTCTCCCATTCAACAGTTGAACCTGATGGAAGGGCATACACTCCCTGCCCGCAAAAGCATCTCCACCTTTCCGAAAGCGAAGCTTCGCGGTGTCACAAGAAGCCAAGGCCAGCCTCCGATGATGTCAGCAATCATCACGTCCTTAGGAAAGAAGCATGATAAGCATGGTGTGTTCAACGAAAACGAACGAAAAACGACATCAGTGGGATCAATTATCTTAAGTACAGCCCCCAGACGCTCCGTCGTTCACGACGCCCGGTCCCGAACCAAACCCGTAGGGATTGGTGAGAAACCCCAGACGCGACCCTGGACCCTGCGTTCAGTAGGGGCCGGACCCGAATCCTCTGGAGGGGTCCGGACCTTCTCACCAATCCCTAGGGTTTGGCTTCGGGACCAGTCGAGCTGTTTCACGGAGCGTCTGGGTGGTGAGAAACCCCAGACCCCTGACCCGAGGATGGTGCGACCCCTGCATAGGTTCGGTCTCGGGTCCACGTCCAACCCGACTCGGTCCCCCACTCGGCAGACTTGGAGTGAACGGATCACACGTGGTCCCAAAACCCATGACACGACCAGCACATGGGACGACGCGACCGTCCGGAGCTGCGGAACTCGCCGATTGGGTGCGTGCGTGGTATTTGAGGGGTTCAGACTCTGGGGCGGCAGAACGGACGAACGCAGTCCCATGTGCTGGTCGTGTCTGGGAAATAGATAGCATGGTGTCCAAATGTTTCACATTTCATAGGTGGGGATCTACGAACTTCTATGACAGGGGATCCCGCGCCACAAGACCCATCCCCACTTGGTGGCGGTTCCACGTCCAGCATGCCTCTGCTGGACTAAACCATCGTCCGAACAGGACTGGTCGATCCAAATGCAACAACGCAAGGCAACAAACGTTTCAGTACCTAGGGTGTCCTGGACCCGGGTGCCCTGGAGTAGGAGACCTGGTAGACCTAGGGTAGACGTAGGGTAGTCTCGCCAGGACGCCCCGGTCCAAGATGACCAGACTCGCATGAGGTGTGAGGCCCAGTGTCTAGGCATCGCTAAACGTCGGTCTTCCGCATATCGTGGTGAACACCGGGACAGACTCAACACGTGGTGACAACCAACCACTCCAACTGCCCAAGTCTATCATCCTCGCCATCTACCAGCACCCGAACTCGGCCAGACTGTTAGTTGAGGGTTGTTGGACCCGGCCCTCTCAGGTCGAACCATTGGTGACCTGGCAGGTCGAACTGGTCCTGGTAGAAGTTCCAGTCTTTGAGAGAAGTTGACTTGGACCACGAGCTCGTCGTGATCCTTCTGGGTGCGAAAGCACACTGGCAGGCCGTCTTAAAAGACGGATGTGGTAAAGGAACAACTCATAAACCCTTCTACACCCTCCCCATATTTCTGAGTATGAAATACACCTGGATCTTCCAACTGTGCAGAATTTTTGCCTTTTCATCAATGAAATCAACCAAAAGGCATCAATATGGCACAGTTGGAAGACCTATATCCCATTGTTCTGAAGTGAAAACAGCTTTTTCACATGGGAGGATGTTTCAAATGTTCAGGATTCAACTGAAATCCACCTCACCCGACCACCCCATTTCTTGGCCGAAGCCCTCCGAAACCGAAAACCATCCACTTCACCCCATCCGGACGCGACTTCCCGACTTCACCGCTCGACTTCCCGCGACGCGGCGTCGGCCAAGCCCAGCGGCCGCCGTGCTCGCCAACTCGCCCACCAAGGTCTGCCGGAAGGCCACGTCCTCGCGACGTAGCGGCGAGAGGCGCGCTGCTCGCGGGCGAGCGACGAGAGGCGCGGGAGAGGCGCGGGGAGGTGTTGGCGAAGAAGTGGTATTTGCATTTTTTGGGAAGAAGACCTTCAATGTCTTGCAGCGATGAACAACAGCTCTAATTGCAGAGGTTTTAAAAACAAATCAGAAACCGCTGTAGGTGAGATCTATTTGTGGTTGGAGGGATCTCGAGGAGCTCTCTGTCTCTGTCTCCCACCATTTTGGGGGGGAGGAAAACACTGCTAGTTCAGGACTATGGTGCCTAAACAAACCCCTCCCAAACCCACGAACCGTCTGATCTTTTCGTCTCGTGGCCTCGATGAGAGACGAAGCCAAGTCCTCAGTGTCCGCGAAGAACGAAGGGCGACCCGTGGAACAACCCTTTGGCCTGGGAAAAAAAAAGGGAGGTAGTCTGGAACGAAAATGGATGGATTCTGGGGAAAACCATGGCGAGTGTTGACCCTGACTTTGATTCTGAAGCTGTCTGAGGGCCGGGTCCGTATATATAGCGACCCCAAGAATTGAAAAAACTCCAGTCCATGAGTCAAAGAAAAATTCACGCAACCCATCAGGAAGTGAGCCATGTTGTTTTGTTCTGATCTGACTCATGGTCAAGACCAGGCCAAAAAAAAGAATCGAATTGCAACAACTATTATAAACCACCCTCCCCAGTCCCTGTCTACGACCCCTTCTTCCTTCACCTTCCCTTCGACTCCAAGATTCCAAGAAGGGCCCCACGTCGTCCGCCTTCCCTTCGCGCGTCCTCACGGTGGATACCCCGTCGCCAGCTTTGGTTGACTAAAATGGGCATGTTCACCTGACCAGTCCGCCGGCTTTGGCGGACATTCACCGACGACGGCGGACTGGTCGTGCCCAAGTTCTCGCTATCCTGGTGTCAGTTCCCCACAGACAATTGAGGCCGAGCAGAGTTCCGAAACTGCAGGCATCCAAAGGGCGTTCTTGCTTGATGTGATTCCATACTCGCTCGAGGTAGCTGAGTATATATAGAACACGCAAACAACTACCAGACCATGAAAAACGTATATTTTACAACATCAGCAGAAACAAAACACCACTCCAAAAAACCTGCCTTTGCCCCTTAATTCGCCCAGCTTCGCTTCCGCTCGCTCTCCGCTCTCCACCGGTCGAGCGCGGCGACGCTCCCAGTGCTGTCCTTGACAAAAAACACCTTCAAACCTCGCTGCTGCAAATTTGTCCACGCATTAAGGCACAGGCGATCTTTTTGCTCTCTTCTGGAGCGCTTGTGCAGTTCACCACGCCCCTTAGGGGCACCTTTTAGGGGTGATCTCAAACCGTCAGATCACCTCTTTTCACAGTTTGAGCCGTACTACGAGGCCGGAACCCCAATGACGACTGGATCAGGAGACTGATCATGATCTACAAGCGCTCGGTCTCTAGCACACGCTCCACATATTCCGCACGCCAAACATATGCAGGCAAGAACGCAAAGGAGCGTAGCCATGCTGATCATCACGCCGTAGACGCGGTCAAAGAGTGGAAGCTCACCTTCTTGTGAGCACCAAGATAAGGCAACTACAAGGTTCAGACAAATGAAGATGAAAATGTACAAAGCCACAAAGCACCCGCAAATCACCAAAGCATTGAAGAAATATCCAGCTGTTTCATCTCCGGCGTCATCTTCATCTCCAGCAGCGGCTACAGCTTCCAAACCGTAACCTCAGAGCTGAGCCATCACGCGCAAACTCCACAAGAAGGCACAAACCATGCACTCATACCATTTTTCATGAAAAGAGGATCCTTCCGCAAACAAAAGGGGAAGCACTCCAAACGCTGTTCCAAACACAAGGCTCAGGAAACCACTAAAAAGGAACGAAAGGAAGACGTTTCTTTGGGCCTCCCCGGTGCTCCCCACTTTTTTCTCTCCCATGAGAAAATCCCAGGCAGTTCCGGCAATTTTGAGGACAACCTGGAAAACCATCATAACGATCAGTGCTCGCGTGACGCCTGGAAGAGAGAAGTTCATGAAGAAGATGCACTGCCCAATCTCCACGCAAATCTTGAAGATGCAGTCGTCCCACTTGCACTCCGTACACCTCATAGAACATGCTTGGAAGATGTCATCAGCAAATGTGTAAGATGTGAAGAAAATGGCCAAGAAGATGGCCCCATGCTCCTCTTCGTTGAGGTTCAGAGTGGTGACCAAGCCCTCTGCAAGGTCCAAGACTAGGACGGTGCAGTCGCAAGCTAGCAGGGCCATGCTATGCTTTGCACACTTCCAAACTAAGACTGAGCCAAAGGGAGACTACAAGTGTCAGGTCACATATCGTCACGCCTGCCAATGATGTCCATGACGGTGAAGGTGCAGCCAACGCGGACGAAGACATGGACCAAACCATTGGGATGGGAACTTAAAGCTTGTAGACATCAAGAGACATGGGACTAACTTGACCCCCCGTGCATCCTGGTGGAGCCGGGCACTGCCACGCTGCTCTTGGAGGATTCGCGCAGCCTGGAGCTACACGACCCGAACGTAGCGACGGTGGATTTCCACTATATAAACCTAGGAGCTTATAGATGCTTTGAGTAAGGCCTGGAGCCGGCCCAAAAGGCCCCAAGACAGAAACAGAAGGCGTTTTCTGGCAACTGCTCTCCCAAGCGATGGTCAAAAGGCTCATCACTTCCAGCGAAGCCACTGGGATTGGATCTTGTTCATGTGACTCAAACAAAGCCATCAGTCCAGGCAATGATTTAGAATCAGAGACACAAAGCAACCGCATCGCCGAGGCAAACCAGACAACTGCTGTAGGAGGACGACGAAATACATGGGAACGTGCATCACCTTTCAAAATCCTTAAATAACTTCTATAGATGTCTTGAAAATGATTTAGCATCTTAATGCAGCAAGCTCTTTGAAGGTGCTTTCTGTTTCGCCCTTGTCTCATCTCCGTTTTCGAAGGTCGGTTCCCTCCAATCCTGTCCCCTCCCTCCCGTCTTCCCATCTCGTCTTCTGATCGATCAATCAGGCGCCCCGGGCAAATCAATCGCCCGATCCCAGCGAAAGCGGTTGGAACGCGACTCGCTCTCCTGGCGGGTGCGGGTGTTTTCTGCCACGCCGAGGGACGGAAGGCAGGTCAGCGCGGGTAGGAGTGAGGTCGTGAGGTGAAATTGGAGGCTTGGATGGGGAGGGCCCGCTGTTTCTGCCCCTAACGCGTGGCATGTTTGCGTGTGAAAAAGAACTGAACTGACAGTTTTTGGACCCTCTTTAACCCTCACGGGAGATGTGAGACATGTTTCAGCGCGCGGAAAATGGGTGGCTGGGAATGCCTCAAATCAAAGAAGGCTTTCGTGGCTGGGAGAAGTAACAGAGGTTGAAGAACCCGAACTAGGCTATCCCAGCCAGTTCGGTACCCTGGTTTTCCGGGTCCGACCTGGTAGTGACCTGGTGGGTCCGGCCGTGAAGGCGGCGAGGATCCGGCCAACGTGGTGAAGCACGGCCCGTTTGGCCACCGAAGCGTTTCGGTGGGACGACCGGTGCTCGGGTGCCATGTTCGGGTCTTAGTCACAGCGAAACTGAGGTTCGGTAGGAAAACGGAGGTGTAGGGGCGTTGGATTGAAAGGGTCTGGTGCTGTTTCATTGGGTGTTTCATGGTGTCTCAGGGTTTCTATGTTTTTGAGGGAGCAGGCTGTGTAGGGTGGATGAGTCGCCTCAGAATCAGAGCTGCCTCCGGGGCCGAGTACTACGGACCCACGGACCTCAAGGACGGACCGTCTGTCCGAGCCGCTGAAGTCAACCTAGGACCACCGAGGTCAAGGACATTCCGAGTCACTCGCGTCACCTACGATGATGATGACGATGATGACGATGATGACGATGATGATGATGATGATGACGATGATGACGATGATGACGATGATGATGATGACGATGGTGTCGGGGACCGGGGGCGATGAAGTTCAGGGAAGCGCCGCCCAAAACCCCCGAAAATGGTTTTTTCCGTGCTGGAGACGTAACAAGACTACGCACCGTCACCCGCGGGCCCCTTAGGCAGTGCTCTCGGCCCCCCATCGGAGGTCCTTGGTGTTCACCAAGAGCTCAAAAAGGCCTCAGGAAGGGAAAATTGTAACTCGCAATAGAGCATATATACTTGATGGTGAAAAGGCGCAGAAAACAAGCAATTCTATGGTTGAATTTGGTTTGGTTGGTGAGGAATTGTTGACACTGAAGAAACCGCTGATGTTTCAGGAGTTCCTTCAGATCGATTTGGTGAAAGTTTGGCATCCACTGCATCCACTGCCCAATCCTATCTTGTTTCCAATCGACTACATCGCACAGAAGTGACACCATGTTGAGTCTGATCCTTCCAAGCGAATCTCGGTCTCCACCTCAAACGCTATTGAAATCCATCAGACCACATATTTACCAAACGTCCCATGTCACCTGGCTGCAAGGAACCCTCCCTCCCAAAACAAATAACTACTTCTCCGCCCTCCGTTCTCTCTGTTGGACACCGCATTCCCTCCATCTCCCTCCGTCTCTGGGACCAGGCTGGAGCGCAGTTCGGCGTCCAGGAGCACGCGCTTGGCGAGGTAGGGATACGCCGCCGCCAGGACGCGGTACCTGTCGGCAACGTCGTGGGAACCGGGCGGTCAATGGTTGGGGTGCACAACGAGCTGCGGGACCCGCACAGCCTTAGAGAAAACATTTTTCCCTAGGTTTCCTGGCCCACCATTAATTTAATAGGCCAACTACCGAACTAACGATATTTTACACTACAAAAACCAGGTCAACCATTGTTTTAATGGTCTTGGAAGTCTAGGGCTTTGGTACAAATTTTTCCCGGCGCTTCCAGATCTGCTCCTTCGCGAGTTCATAGGATCGGAATTCGCCGCTACGGACAGGCGAATTGCGTCGTCCTCCCCTAGAGAACTGTCAGCGCACTTCTAGGCACAATGGGGACGGCTCAGTCACAGAAAGACAGAATGAAAGCAAGTGGCAGGAAATGGTGCGAATATGAATTCCTGAAGAGCTAAAGGGAGATTACGTTTCCAACCCTCGAGCGCTTCGCACGAGTCAAAAGTGAAGCGGGAAGCCTCATCAGAGACAACACATTCTGCAGCCCTGCCAAGCAGTTTCACTATATCCCAGCCCAGCCCCTCAAAACCACAACCGCTGACACACGAGTCCCAATGTCACAGCGACAGTCACCTCCATCAAACACCGCAACCTCACGACTACCCCCGCCTGCCACGAAAGTTCAACGGCAACACGCAGAAAGTACGCACCCACCACGAAAAGTGACGACATGACATCTTCATGTCTTCTGCAAATTTCGCACCACACCACATGCTTGGAATAATTTCAACACGTTCTACGCATTTCTAAGCACACTCCCATCCACCAAAGTCGCCATTTTTGCCGAGACTTGTCACGAAAACATGGCTTCGAAGCAACAGCCTGAAACGCAAATCCCAATGCCATAGCCACATCCAACACCCCCAAAAGACCACCCTCTAAACGCCAAACCCAATCTGACTGCAAAGAAAACTGCGGATCTCAAAAAACGCTGCACCTGTGAAATCATCCTCCACACTTTCCACACGTTTTCCTCGCTATTTCACCCGAATCTGACACGTCATGCTTTCATCCAAAACAATCTCCAAAAGCTTCGCACAATGTCAGCGCCATGGCGCCCTACCGCGAACGGTGGCGAACGGTGGCGGACGGTTGCGAACGCTACAGCAACGAGTCGCGAACCAGAGTCTACCCCCAGACCCCCAGAGTTAAACGAGAACCCTTCGCTAGGCATTCGGGAAAAAGGTGCTGCTCGACCGGACTCATGATCGATGCCTGGACGCCTTTCGATACCAGACTCCAGGGTCGATGGACCCGAACAGAACGACCTTGGGACATGATTCTGGATGATGATGTGACTAGAAAATACATATATACATTATGAATCATTAAAATAAGATATACCAGGGCCCCCCAAGGGGTGTCCAATTATAGCTCCTTAGAGGTTAAGGGGTATCCAATAACCACCCCTTAGGGGGCCTGGTAGATGTGAAAAGTCATTTCCTGAAGACACATCAGATGTAATTGAAAGATATTTGTGACCATTAAACCCCAAAAACGGCTCCAAACGTTCCTGCCGGCCTCGGACAGGTACGAACGACGCCCCGAGGTACGAACGAGCCCGTTCGGTCATGCAACTTCAGGTTTGATGAGGCTTTTGGAGCTCTCCAACCGGGCGGGAAAAAAGACTCCAAGCGTGACGTGAAAAGGGTCAAGAATCCCTCAGGTCAGGAATTTCACAGGTCGTTGGTGACATGTCACCCGGATCGAGGTCAGGAATTGGATCGACTGGAGCTGCTCATGTTGGAAACACGAACTTCGAAAAATAAGATGTTGGGACTAGCACTTCCTATCCGGGTGCCCTGGAGTAGGAGACCTGTTTACGTAGGGTAAGGTATATAGTCTTATTGGACACCCATTTGGATTACCCTGGGACTCCAGGTTTGACTGGTCCGATTTGAACCAGACTGCTCCAGTCCTCGTCAGACGACCGCCCGACGTCGTCTCACTCTCAATCTCTGACCGCCCGCCCGTCTTCACGGTGTTGGTCAGTTGATCAGACGGTGCTTGGCGCCCGGTCTACGACAGGGGAAACCCAGGCTTTCAGAAACCCAGCCCCTAGGCTTCCAAGACCATTTAAAAAATGGTTGACCTGGTTTTTGTAGTGTCAAATCCTTAGTTGATTCCATAAAGCCTATTAAATTAATGGTTGTTGGAAGCCTAGGTGGTTGTTGGAAGCCTAGGGAGCTGTACCAAGAGAGGTTTTTCACAGCCGTGTTTAGCTCGCCCATCCCATATTCCTGTACCACAGGATCCCAGGGTCCGAACGTGAAGCGGTCTCTCAACCTCTGTTGGTATTCGCATGACTCTGACAGTGACATGCTTTTGCACCCGTGTACAGTACAGTACATCTCGAACCTGGTCCCGGAGACAGGTCAAATCCTCTCAAGGTGAAAGAACCGCAGGCATGAAAGGCAGAATCCCCGATTTGGGTCATTGAGTTCGGGATGGTCAAGCTCTGCAAAGAGCTGCAACCATAAAAGGCACCATCCCTAATGTGGGTCACCGAGTCCGGGATGGTCAAGCCAACCAAAGAGCTGCAACCACGAAAGGCACCTTCTTCAATGTGGGTCACCGAGTCCGGGATGGTCAAGTCAACCAAAGAGCTGCAATCCCCAAAGGCTTGATACCCAATGTGGGTCACTGAGTTCGGGATGATCAAGTTCACCAAGAAGCTGCAACGCGCGAAGGCACGATCCCCAATGTAGGTCACTGAGTTCGGGATGGTCAAGTCAATACC